TTTAAGTAGCATATGACTCTTTAATAAGGCCAATAATCTTGAAGAAACTGGAAAATTAGACTCATAACGAAGGTTAATAAGCTCTGAGCGAGAAAAGTTAATCACAGAACCACCCATGCAAAACGAAGGTGTAGTTTGAACTTTGAAAATGACTGTCGTTTACAGAGTTCTTACCCAAATTGTGTTCGTTTCCCTCGTTAACAGCAGGTCCTGGATTAGGATGGACATCCATACATATCGTAACATTTATCGAAGGGTTGTGAGCGGGTATAGCCAGTACTGTTTCCCCATGTTTAGACCATTTGGAGATACAAAACTCAATTCTACTACGAGAGTCCCAAATGCAATTCACACGAATAACAGCGGAGGACAAATTAGGGTATCTCCCCATACACACTTCAGACCAGCATGAATTTCGCAAAAGATACAATATATCCACATTACTATTTGTTGATGTAATAGGATTAGCCAAACAATGTATAGTAAGACCAATCAAAGCTAAAAAACACAGAGCTCGCAACAGCGTGGCAACCATTTTGGGCGCCGTAATACATATCGTGCACTCGTCAGAATCCATATTTAATTTACTCGGGATAAAATTGCATAAGTATGGATCGATATATGAAGTAGATGAAACGAAGGAAGCTTCCCTTTACGTCAGTTCAAACTCGTATACTTTTCAAAGAAAGAATAACACTATATACACTAAAACTCTTTGACTTTGTAGGATATTTATAGAACGCACCGTATTTTCGCGTTCCGGTTTGATCCTGCAATCCTGCATGCAATCTTACCAAAAAAACTACCGTTACATTTTCAATTAATTTCATAATTCGGTTTACGTTTACTTGATTGCTTGATTTCATTATAAAGGTTTAAAAGAGAATCATAATTTCGTATCCAGTCAAGAAAGCTTGCATGTGATGTATCATACGATAGCCCGATGTGGCCGGACTGGTTGTTTGAAAGCCGATTATAGGCTTGATCCAGAGGTAACGAAACTTTCCAACGGCTTATCTACAAACTTGGAAATATTTTCCCAGAAATATAGCAATGTATACGGCCGTAATCTAGAAATTTGTTCTTTATTAAATCTAAAAGATAAAATATATATACTTACCTGTAATACTATTTGCCAAATAGCGTTTTATACCTTTTCTACGGTGCTCCTCACTCGAACGTTTTCATGCACTGAATAAATTTAGCCCCTCAATGCTTCTATATTAAAGGTTTGCTGTTTGACCCCCTCCTGATAATATTTACGTAACAGAAATTGAAGGAAGTCGGGAGGGAAAAACGTTAAATGTCAAAGACGGGGGGAGGGGGACAAAAAATTTAAGGTTGATGAGTGCGGAAATGCTGAGGAGAAGTACATTATTTAGTAAGTAGTCATTCGTAATATGATAGGATGAAATGTTCTCGAAGCGAATGTGTCCAAAACGGCAAGAACGCATCCTCGTTCCCGGCAGGGCTTCTCGGCTGCCCGAGAAGCCCTGGCAACGAGGATGGCAAGAACGGGAAATTCATTAATTCATTAATTTTAGTCTCCATGCATTTTCTGAATGAAGCTTAGGGGCAGACCATTAGAAAAGTGATGGGGGGGGGGGGCGACTTTTTAGTTAACTTGTGCCGTGAAACATTTTACAGCAGCAGGATATCAGAGACCTTGTGAGCTATACGGGATCAAAGAAGACGATCTGAAGGAGATGGGGATAAATTTGGTCGGACATCGTGACAAAATATTGAAAGGTATCAGAAATTTGCAGGGAAAGAAGAAAGGAGGAAAGCAAGCATTGAAACGAGAGGTTTCACTTGAAGTTTAAGGTTTTGAATTCTGACCGAAACCTTCTCTCAACATTCTTCAAATGAAAGTGAATAAGTGGCCGTTTGCCAGCCTCGATTGAGCCTGGTTGATACTACACCTTGGCTTTTTGCCAAGCAACCGCATGGATTGCCAGGCAATGGATCTACTAGTACATTGGGATAATATGCGGGAATTTGTAGAGACCGATACGTACAAGGAGAACTGAATACATTTTAAACTATAAATATTAGACTAGTATCGTAGTCAGCGAAAGACATTCGTCCTTATTAGCCTACTCCAGAACTTGTTTATACATAGAATTTAGCTCTTATTTGCCTGTCGAGTGAAGCCCTTTCAGTGACTGTTAATTAGCTAATTAAATATTGTATATATTTAGAATCAAACAATATCACACACCATCATAATAATATTACTAAATAGTTGAAGATTAAAGTATTTATCAATAACAATAACAAAGCCCTTTGTGTTTATTACATTAAGTATAATAGTTATTACTTATTACATGTTATATGAGTAAATACTATACACTATAACAAGTACATAATCCCTAAGCAAATCCCAAAACTATAAGCAAGTAAGACAACCAAGAATGCTTCTGTTTCGTACCATAGCATCAGTCACGAACATATCCGCTCCTGTTTAACTAATACTTACTTTCGTCCTATTACTATTATTTCACACAACCCATAAACGCAGATTCCAATACAGCAAGGTAGTAGTGAATGTGAACTGCAACTCTCGCCTTCGGGTATACAATCTTTTGCAATGCTATAACATGATATAAAAATGTATCAACAAAACAGCTATGACAAGATATTTGAGCACTAGAGGACACTCTGAGATTGCATGATAAATTATGAGCACATGTAATTATTACATAACAGGGGTAGGGGGCTGTCGGCGTACTACTCCTCTACAAGATTTTGTTGGGGACCTCCCCTGCACCACCACCAAGCATTTTATTGGGGTGCCTTATATTCCATTTTAAAAACCATACCAATTCACTCACTTGATACGAAAGCGCAGCGCAAATTTCGAATTATTAGTAGGGGCAAGGTGGAATATTGGACATGCAGTCACTTTAATCGAAAACGTGCTCCCCCTGCAAAAAAATTCACATTCGGGGGCCCCACAGTTAGGGTTAAAATAGTGTAGCGCCGTTATACGAAGGCCCTGAAGGGGTAAAATGGGAACTGGGATTGATCTATATTTAGACTGGGAAAATGGGATTTGGGTTGCTGGGACTGGGATTTGGCCACTGGGAATGGGAAATGAAGTCCTCAAAAATGGGAATGGGATTGAGGTAATGCGAGTCGATTCCCAATTTTTCTGCGTTTTGAGTATTTTAAAATACAATTTTGATCCGTTTTTGGTGTCTTTAGTCATGATTTTTGTTGTTAACTATATTATTCACAGCACTACCTGCGAACAGGCATACTCGGTTTTCTAATTATGCGTGTCTCAGAATGCTGCAAATGCCATTTCCGGGATTCAAATTTAAAAATTTTCCGTGCCTTCGACACGAGCCCCCCTAATATTTCATAAAGTGTCCGCCACTTGCTTAAAAGGTCTTAAAGCTGTTTATTCTACCGATAAATAAAGGGGTTTTTATTGACTGGGATTTCAATAACTAGGATTGGGATTTCTAATAAAAATCCAACTGGGACTGGGATTTTGCCAAAATTTCGGGTGGGAAATGGGATTGGGACCCCCCCTTCAGGACCCTCTTATACGCAACCCGCTTACGACTGCTTCGGAGCTGTGACATCAAATGTAGGTCGGACATGTTGATATTACATGGCTCCTCAGATATCAATGAATTATATTATTAGAGCTATAGCTAGACCTTAAGATTGACGTTTATAAGTTAAGAAAATTAAACTGCTCGCAGCGAGCTTACGAGCCGTGCCTACGAGTACTAGCGTATAAACGTAGGTCTAGCTCTGGCTAATGATATTAATTCACTGATATCTGAGGCTGAGCCATGTCATATCAACATATGTCCGACACACATTTGATGTTACAACCGAAGCGGTCGAAAGCGACTTGCGTATACCAGCGCTACACTAGTTGTTTTCGAATATTAATTTTTTGAACGCTTATACTGGGAAAGCGATCGACGTTAAGGACACTAGCTATAACCAACTCGCATGCACTCTTATCTTTGTTTCATCCGGGCTTAACGGCTGTGATCATTTGCCGTGACGTTCACAAGTAGGGCGTTCAATTCTGGTAAAATTATTTTAGACGACAACTAGAAAAATTAGCATGGACTAGATTTTTTGCAGTGACGATGCAAACGCCCGAGCAGGCGAAAATTGAATAAATAAAATTACTCCTTACCCCCTCTTATCGTCTAGCCATGGCACGGCGGCGCTATAACATGAACATGATATAAAAATGTATCAAGGAAACAGCTATGACAATATTGAGCACTAGATCTAGTAAAGTAGTAGCAAAATCGCCCCCAGAGAAAAATACTGTATTTACGATTTTTGGAAATGACATTAATTATTCTTTGGGTATTTGTGACTTTTTCCAGACCTAAACTGATTTCCAGACCTAAATTTTACAGACTTTTGGCGAAAAAAACGGCTTTTACGAAATGAAAACGGGTCTTAATTTAACTGGTGCTTGTCCGGCAAATTTTTTTACTCTTTTTTTATGTTCGGAAACATTTTTTACTCCCCCGCCCCGCTCGCCAACATTTTTGGGGAAAATATGGTCTTACTGTCCCCCCCCCCCAGTGAAAAAATCCTGCGTACGTCACTGGCTGTACATAGACCGCTAACCGCAAACAACAACTACTTCGAATCGTATTTGAAGATAAGTTCTACACGTTTTCCACAACGAATTGGCTAAATTTAATCATCAACTTCAGTTTTAATTCGCAAATTGCCCCAACTATTTGAAGTATTCTGTTTGCAATCAGAGGTCTGCTGTAAACTGGCGTCAATCTTATGGTCAATTAACAAACTTACCCTTCACTTGCACAAAATATCACCAAGTTGATGAGTAAAGTCAAACACGTTATAGCTCTCAATGTCATTTTCGTTTTTACAAATTTCACTGACTTACAAATTCTATAAAGAAAATGTAGAAGTATATAAGGGGCCATTCAATGACAAAGGATGTCCGAGCCGAGGGGGGGAGGGGGGGTTGGAAAATCAGGACAAACTCGGACATAGGGGGGAGGGGGGTTTAGCAATCCGGATGTCCGAAATTTAAAAAAATTCAAAAACAAATTTCTTTTTCCCCTCTATTTTGAGCAGTCCTTCCCATTGTGAAATTGGCATTTTGACTATGCGGTTAACACTAGATTTTGTTTTAATTAGTAATTTATATGTTTTTGTGTTCACATTTACAGTTATAAAAAAGTTCTAAAAGTAAAAAAGTTTTTTACTCTTGATATATACAAGGTTGCGTGAGTTTTTGCGAGGCATGGCGGATGTCCGGGGGGTCACTAATTCGGACAATGCCGGACAAGGGGGGGAGGGGGGGTCTGAAAATCCATCATTTGGCCGGACATCCTTTGTGAATGGCCCCTAAAGGATTATACCCGATTTTCTCAGAGATCGGATAAAAAATTATTTGGTCGAAAGATTTGTATCAGAGCACAATCGTGCACTCGTCATGCAGAATCCATACTTACTCGGGATAAAATCGCATGAAGATAGATGATAGATCGATATATGAAGTAGATGAAACGAAGGAAGCTTCCGTTTAGTGATTTTGCGTAATTCAAACTTACTTTTCAAAGGAATAGTAGTGATACACCAAAATTCTTTGAATTCAGTGTAGGATATTTATAGGCCCTACAACGCATCGTATTTTTGCGTTCCAGTTTGACCCATGCAAATTTCTATCCTATATATTTTCGTATATTTTCGTCAGTAAACTACTGGTTTACAATTGGATTTTCCTATAAAATACGTCAGCTCGACCAATATACGCGACACCTGACTGACGGATTGAAGAGCTTTTTATCGAGTATAGAATAAATTTTTAGTTAATTTTAACTTGAACTGATTTTTCCTTATAATGCGTGGGGCAAATCTCCCCTAGATAGTATGACAGAGTTTCTGGCTTTCACTGATTGGAATTTTGCCAGATTTTTTCGGACTTTTTGTAGGAAGTAAAACATTATTTTGTCATTGTTTACAATGTTCCGGTGAAGCTGTGCAGTAAAAGACAATTATATCCTATTTTCCCAAAGAGGTGATAAAGAATTATTTGGTTAGAAATATTCCGATACCCGAGCAGTTGTGCACTCGTCAGAACTGCATATTTATACTCGGGATAAAATTGCGTGAAGTGCATATATATATATATATATATCTATATATATATCTATATATATATCTATATATATATATATCTATATATATATATATATATATATATATATATATATATATATATATATATATATATATATATATATATATATATATATATATATATAT